CTGGCCAATCAGACTCGGAGAGATTTGAAATTTGGACCTGAGAAACTCAGTCTGGTTGCTGCTAGAGCAGAAGTGAGTTTCTGGCAGTGTCCCAAGGAAAGAGGTCTACGAACTTCTGTCCCGAGGTCCCTGGAACTGCCTCACTTTCTGCCCCAGCTCCAGGCTGGGGGCTTCAGCTGGTCTTTCAGTTCCATGACATGTCCCAGTATCCTTCCTTTAAAAAAAATGTCTAGGCCAGGCGCAGTGGCTCATGCTTGCAATCCCAGCCCTTTGGGAGGCCAAGGCAGGCGGATCACTTGAGGCCAGGAGTCTGAGACCAGCCAGGACAACATGGCCCGTCTCTACTAAAAATACAAAACTTAGCATGGTGGTGCACGCGTGTAATCCCCAAACAACTCAGGATGCTAGACCAGGGAGATCGCTTGAACCCAGGAGGCAGAGAGTATGCGACTAAGACTGACGGATCACGGCCAACTAACACTCCAGCCTAGCAACAAGTGAGACTCCATTCAATTACACAAAAGAAAAAAAATCCTAAAAAGGGCCATTGTTAGCCAATTTAGCAACCTCAGGAATAACTTAATGGATTTAGGTCAGATATACCTTGGCGGGGGTATGGGAGGATGTATGTGTGTTAAAATAGACATAACAGGGCTGGACAATGGGTGGCTAACAGCACTGTAATCCTCAACACATACTTCCACAGAAGGTCTGAGGATGGGGCGGGGCATCACTTGAGCCAGAATGTCCCAAGGAACGGGCTGGCAAACACCAAGCGAAACTCGATTTCTACCAAAAAAATACCAAAAAAAAAAAAAAATTAGACTGGGAACATAGGGTCGCCTGACCATATCGGTCCCCAGAACCTGCTCACGGGAGGCTAGAGGCAGAAGAGGATCAGCTTGAGCTAGAGGGAGATAGCTTGCGATCGTGCACAAAACTGACACTCCCAGCCGGGATTGAGCAGTAGTTGGAGGACCCTGTCTCAAAAAACGGAATGTGTGTGTGTGTGTGTGTGCACGAGCCACTGTACGAACTATACACACATAACAGGGTCACGCACAGTGGCTCATGCCTGTAAACCCAGCACTTTGGGAGGCTGAAGCAGGAGGATCATTTGAGTCCAGGAGTTTGAGATCAGCCTGGGCAGTATGGTGAGAGCTTATGTACGTTTTATCTCTACAAAAAATTAATTAGCCGGGCATGGTGGTGTGTGCCTGTGGTCACAGGTATTCAGGAGCCTGAGGTGGGAGGATTGCTTGAGCCCAGGAGGTTGAGGCTGCACTGCAGTGGGCCATAATATCACCACTGCACTCCAGGCTGGATGACAGAGCAAGTCTGCCTAAAAAAAATACATACACACACACACACACACACACACACACACATATAAAATTTACCACTTTAAACATTTTTACGTGTACAATCCAGTACATTCACTTTGTTAGGTGAACATCACCACTATTCATCTCCAGACTTTTTTCATGGTCCCAGCCTAAGACTCTGTACCCATTAAATGCTAACTCACCATTCTCTCCCCCACCAGCCTCTGGTAACCACTATTCTTTCTGACGCTATGAATTTGACAGCTCTAGGTATTACATGTGAGTGGAATCACGTAGCATTTGTCCTTTTGTGACGGACTTATTTCACCAGCGTAGTGTCATCAAGGTTCATCCAAGTTGCGGCGTGCTTCAGAACGTCATTCCTGTTAGTCATTAGGCTAACATTCCATTGTAGGTATCTGCCATGTTTTGTTTATCCAGCTATCTGCTGGTGGACGTGTGGGTATCTCCCTTTTCTTGCTAGTCAGAGTTTGCAGATCTTGGTTTCTGTTACTTGTGCCAAAAGCACCTGAACTTGGACAGCAACTCATCAATCACCCGGGCAGTGACTCAGAGGAGCCCCATGTGCTTGCTGCTCTTGCTCCTCCGCAGGGGCCAGTGCTGCTTGCTTTGGACCCTCCCTGGACTGTGAGTCCCTGCTTCTTGATCCAGGAATTTCTCTCCACCCTCCTTGCTATCAGGGGTTACAGCTAAATATGATCAAACTCCTTCCTCCAGGAGCTCCCAGCCTGGGGATGACAGAGTCGCTAACATACAATGTAGTCAGGCCCAGACCTTTGCCTGCAGAGGCCAAAGCAGACATGGGGGTGGGAGTGGGGGCGGCAGGGCCCAGGCTGACAGAAGTCAAAACAGCATCAGATGAGGCAAGAAGTTTCAAAGTCCTTAGCCAGCACCAGGGTCAAAGCCAGGGAGTCAGAGTTCAAAGGCCTAAAAAACAGGACAAGGTTGAAAACAGGAAGCTCAGGGCTGGGGTTCTGGCAAGCTGGAACAGAATGTCGTTGTCCTGTGTCTTGTTTTGTTTTTAAATTCAGGAGGATTGAGGTGTCAGTCTGAAAACCTAACTAATTGAGAATCTATATACACAGAGTCAAATCCCCACCCTAGCACGTAATAAAAAGCTTGCCAGAAACTCCTGAAGGTTCAGAACTGGAAGAGCTTTTCTCACGTGCATTCAGTTGCTTTCAAGAAGGATATTTCTCGTCTTTTCAAGGTAGGCAGATAGATGGCCGACCTTACACACACACAGAAAGGACTTCGGTCATTCTGATATACAGAGTTTTCCAGCCGTGGTCATCCTAAAGCGAATAAACCTATTCTCAAACAACTTAGATGACTGACCATTTGCCTTGTAGAATACAGGTGGCTCAGTACATGGGGGAATCAACTGGAACAGGAAGGGAAGAAAATGAGGGAACAACTCCGGGTAGTACAAAGAGCATTTTACTGGGAGTCACAGAGGATGGCTCGCGTGTCCTCCTTCTACACAGCCGTCTTAGACACCATGAGGCCTTGAAGCAGATGATCAGATGTCCTGAGGCTGGTTTCAGCAGGCCTGTCTGAAATATTATTAGGCCTTCTTGGATGGGTCGTGTGAACACATATTTTCTTCCCATGAGAGCATACATGCGCTTGCACATGGAAGAGCAACTATTGAGAGTCATCAGCAGCCTGAGCTGGCACTTGGGGACACAGCTGATGCAATGGTTTAAAAGCACTGTCTCCAAGCAGGGTGCGGGGGTGCATACCTATAGTCCCCTTAACTCAGGAGGCTGAGGCAGGAGGATCACTTGAGCCCAGGAGTTCGAGGCTGTCATGTGCCATGACTGTGCCTGTGAATAGCCACTGCACTCCAGCCTGGGTGATGTAGCAAGACCCCATATCTTGTATTTAAAAAAAAAAGTATTATCTCCAAACTCAAACTCTGACAGACCATCTGTGTTTGAGTCCCAACTCTCTCACTCACTGTGAGGTCTTGGGTAACTACTAATCCTCCTAAGCCTTAGTTTACTCATCTGTAAAATAGACCAATTATAATACCTACCCCCCAGTGTTGAAAGGATGAAAAGGCAATGTGACAGAGTGCTTAGCAGATAAGTGCTCCATAGGCCTTATTGTTCCAGTATCTGACTTTTCTCTAGGACCACAGAACATAAGATAGTAAGGAGCTTTCTGTCATTGTGAAGATAAGGGAATTAAAGCCCAGAGATGGAAAGCGATTTAGCAAAGGTCACGCTACAAATCACCAGCAGATCTGGCACTAGAACTGGAGGCTATACTTTAAAAAGAAGAAACCTCTGATCTACACAAGCCTGAGGCTGGTGTGAATATGTGAAAGATTGGGG